ACAGCCATGTTGTAAATGTGGGGATATGTTGTGTGTATGTGAAGATTTGTTAAAGGTTACCCAAAGGCTAGAAAATATTTTACCTTCTCTGGACCCAAATGGAGTGCCAGAGAGAGAGAGAGAGAGAGAGAGAGAGAGAGAGAGAGAGAGAGAGATGGAGATGGAGAGGGAGACTGAGACTGCTGGCAGCAAAGCTGGAGCAGCTAAGTCATTTAATCCCTTTAGAAGTAAAGTTCCAAAAGTCAGATATGGACCTACTGCTACTGGATTTGGTGTTTTTCCTGCTGTTTTTCAGTCTTATTTTGGTAAAGTATTTCCTTACTATGCCCCCAGTCCTCCCTTCTGGAATGGAAATGTTTATTTGGTTCCATGAATGCTGGAAGTTGTCATTTGTCTTTTAATTTTGCAGGTGCTTACAGTTAGGAGATTACCTCTCAGAGGAGACTTTGGACTCTGAACTTTTCAAAAGTATTGAGACCAATAAAGACTAGGGGGACTTTTGAAGGCATACTAAATGCAATTTGCATTTTATATGGTCATGAGCCTATGGGGACCAGGGGGTGCAATACAATGGTTTGAATGAAAATGTGCCCCATAGACTCCAAGTTTTTGGACATTTTGTCCCCAGATGGTGGCACTATTTGGGGAGGTTTTAGGCAGTGTAGCCTTGCTGGAAGAAGGATGTCACTGAAGGTGGTTTTGAGAGTTCTTAAGCCTTGCCCGATTTCCAGTTATTCTCTGTTTCCTGTGCCTGCCTGAAGATGTGATCAATTGGCTTTCTGCTCCAGTCACCTCTGCTACCATGCAATCCCCACTCCAATTATGGACTCTGACCCTCTTGAACGGTGAGCCAAATAAACTCTTTCTTCTATGAGTTGCCTTGGTCATGGTGTTTTATCACAGCAATAGAAAAGTAACTAATACAAAAAGGCAAACAATAAAACTAAAGAGAATGTGACTTTTTTTTAAGTTGTGAATAAGGCAGATGGAGTCTGTGGCAATCCTGTGTACATGCCTCCATCACCACCACCCCCCCGCAAGCACAATAGCTGTACTAGGCCATGGGTAGTTATGAAAAATCAGGCCCTTCAATGTAGGAAGACCAAGTTGATCTTGGAAGCCAAGGCAGAAAATACATTTCCAGATGGAAAGAGTAAAAGCTTGTATAACTCTCCTAGACTGAACTTACAGTTAGAGTGAGCAAGAGGCCAAAGAACAGGCCACAATTTAAGGAGGAAGAAGCTAAAAATGAGAAAGCCATTAAAAGATTTAAAGAATTCCACATATCTTCTGAGCACTTGAACACATGCAATCCTGACTTGAGAGAGTCCAATGGGAAAGAAAGCAGGACAAAGACCAAACTGCTGAAAATTTGAATGTTCATCACACACAACAAAGATCAATAAGACTTCCACCAACAAAAAGAAATTAAATATGCATACATGGCAATATGGATAAAACCACCACCAAGAGTCTGTATAGAAACTGTGCTGGAGAAAGTAACATTGATCCAAACTCACTGAGAAGTGAGATGGAAAAGTATGGAGTTAAGTACCATGCTTTCAGTTACGCAGGGCAGAAATCTTAAGAGTAATTCTTGACTTAACTAATTTTCCTTCATGATCCTTATCCAATCCATTAGTAAATTCAGTCAGCTGTATCTTTAAAATACATTCATATATCTACCATATTTTTACTTCTACTGTTATACTCGAATTTAAGTAATCACCTTGCTAACTAGAGTTAGAATTACTACTTTGCCCTCCAATTTATCTCTTGGCTTCTACCAATCACATTCTACATGCATTAGCCATAATGATCTTTTTCAATATAAAAGAGAAAGGGTCTCCCTCCTCTATTTAATATCCTGCAATAATGGCATTCCCACAAAATAAATTTCAAAGTTTCCACATAAGCTCTTGTTCTGTATCATCTCCTGACCTTACTGCCTACTTCACTCTGATCACTCTGGTTTTTCAATGCTGGCTTCATCCCTCAGACATACTAGTAAAGTTCATACCAGTACCCTGACTGTTCTTTGGCCTACATAATTGTGCCTGCATGCTCCTATGGTTAACTCATGTACATGCTTCAAATGCTTGCCTGAATGTCACATTCTCAGTGAGCCCTACTATCACCACTATATTTTAACTGAAAACATGTCAATCATTTATATGTTCTTCAGAAATTCCCATAAAACCGAATCTCATTCATCTTGCTCCATTTTTCTTTTTCACATAGTACTTATAACTACTCATATATTACATTATCTATTTTGTTTATTTTCATAATCTGTCATTGCCTGTAAGAATGTAAGATCCACAAAAATATAATTATCTTATTCTTACTGCTATAGCCTCAAAGTCAAGGATAATTTGGGATTGTCTACAATAAATATTGACTTAATGAGTAAATAAGGAAACCTAGACAAAAATGTAAATGTGTGTGATGATACACGATATCACACATACTAAAACATTACAGTAGCTTCTGCGATATTGTTCCACCTATTTTCAATGTTTTTTACAAAAATATTCAGAACTCTCATTTTTATAATGTCTCTGTGAAACTATATCTCAACATTCAAGTTCTCTATTTCAGGTTTACTGAATTTTTCCATACTAAACAGTACATTTTCCTCTTTGCAATCTTAATACCCTGTATTTACATATTTCTATCACAGACTTTAGCATAAAGCATAAAGTTCATTTATTAGCTCTTAATACTATCCCGTGAGCACCTAAAATTATTTCTAAGGGAAAAAAACAGATCTAGTTTTTGAAATCAAAGTTATTTACATAATTTTATTCTTATTATATAACATGGAGAGTGCCTGAATTCTACTTACTATTATATATAGTAACAACAGTGATGGGGTCAGCCAAGCAACATAATAAACACTCCTGAAACACTACTTTTGATAAAATAACATTCTGGAGGGCCATCACACCTTTTATGCTATGTTGTCTATTCCATTAATGCAAAATTAGCTTCAGAAACAGATATAAATTGATCTATTCATCATTTTTGTTTTCTCAATTTACTTTTACTTTATAAACCTTCCACTCTCTTAAATGTTTCCTCCTTTTCATTTCTATGCTATCTTAACTGTAAGTGGAGGCCATACCTACTGATTTCTCCTTCCTTTCTCACCCCATCATAACACAAACTAATCTTGTGCTGTCCACCTTGTACTCAGACTATGGCATAAGAGGGAGAACAGAGACAACTTATTCTAATAACTGGTTCTACAAACAAAATGTTTGAGAAAATTGAAAGTAAATATTGCTTCCTCATACTACAAATAGAAAAATTACTTTTGCTATACCTAGACACAATTATTGAAAATATAAGCCTGAACTTCATCAGTGTAATAACTATGAAGATTATAAAATAGCTAAAGGTTGGCATATTTGTAGCAATCAATAAATGAGAGCTCTAAAACATTACTGACTTCAAAAACAATAAATACAAAGCCCCACCATATCAGTTCATATGGAAAAAATACAATGATATTTTTAAATTAAAAATGGATAGAAAATAATTTACCTTCCTTCATTGACAAGTTCAATAAAAGCAAGGCCTGCGTTCTTCTGAATAGAATTCTGCCACTCCTAAAAAACAGTGAAAAAAATTGCTGAAGAAATTATACTTATTATTTAATAAGTTATTTCTTTTAATACCATAACCATGAAACACAACTCCCATATCAATTTCATATCTTAATTCTTAAAGGATAAATTTTGCTAAATATGTTGCTTTCCCAACACAGCCTTAGGGATGCACAAAGACTGATACCAAAAACTTCATTTAAACAACTTGATTCAGTATAAATGAAATGAGCCTATCCATACTTATCTTCCCATTTTTGTTTGGTAATCCTTATATATTAATTTAAATGATGTAACTGGTAGTTAGGTATGAAGGTAGCAAAAAAGGCCAGGGACAGAAAGGTTTTGCTTTTGTTTTCTTTAAAATAAAAATAAAAAGATAATTCAAAATGAAGACAGGATCATTAAGGAATACAAAACTTTAATGAATAAAAGGTATCAAAAACAAATTATTATTAATGACATATAAAGAGAACATTAGTTTTAAGCTTGAAAACAATTTATTGCTCTATAAGTTAGCAAAAAGAGGTATAAATCTCCAACTATACTCATTATCCATTAAAAATTTATGTTAAATTTCATCCACCAAAACAATATCCATTAAAAAACCTAGAAAGGAAATCAATCCAAAGCATGTTCAAATGAATTCTTTAATCCTTATTCAAAACATATGTAAAATAAGCATAAGAACATTAAAAAAAAGCCACCATGAATTGAAATATACCCACACTTGAGAAATGCATGTGAATGGACCCATGTATATGCATGTAGTGTCAATGTGTCCACATCTATATAAGCATATTTAGGTATGTTTCTATATGCATCAGTATTTTCAAAGAACTGTAACATGAAGTCTTCCTTCTGTACACTTACAGAGTCCCTTGTATTATAACTGCATGATAGCCCTCAACTATTCTTCTTGTTCTTTCATAAAACCTAAAATGAAAGACTATTTTCAGTAACTTAACATCATTCATCATGAATCATAATGATGTCTTCTGAGTAATAGCTTTAAGAGTTTTAAATTCTATATAATTTCAAATTAATGTGTGTGTGTGTGTATGTGTGTGCGCGCGCGTGTGTGGTGTATGTGGTGTGTGTGTGGTGTGTGTGTGTTTGTACCTTCTAGCTTCTGTTTTTTGTTACTACCTTTGTTCTACATACATGGTGTTTGGAAAGGCCCAGGACTGATTCCATTTTATGAATAGTGTCAGTATGATCATAGTAACAGAATGTTGTGTATAACAACAGAGTGAAAAATTAAACTCAAAGTCAGTTGTTAGATGGTCAAAGGTACTGACTGACTAGATCCATCAAAGAGGGGAAAAAGCAATGTACTGTTAAAAAAAATCATGAAAATTTGTTTTCATTTTGACATAAACAGAGTATGTCCTTGTAAAAATTACACTACATTTTGTCACAATCAATAAAATGTTTTTATTCCAGGTACATTTTTTTAGTCAACAATTTATTTTTGAAACAGCAAAACAGAAGTCTATGGCATAATCTCTCAAAATTGATATTGCCACTCAACAGAAACTATAAAAGAGACCTTAAATTCCTTTGACTAAGATAAACCAAATCAAATGTAAGACAGTTATTTCAATCTAACTTTAAGCCCTTTCTTTCTGTCAAAATGAAATTAACAGTCCACAGTCCAAGTAAAAACAAATCAATTATACAAAAGGATATATCCCTAAGAGAAAGGCAGGGGCCACATGTCCCCTCTTCTCACAAAGGCAATAGGAACACAAACATAAGTGGAAACTGCAGTGAGTCTTTGAATTCTAGTACAGTGGGTCCCACAGCTCACTCTCACTGAGCACAGAACAATGAGATTCAAGCTGAACCTAAAACTGCTCTCAAAATATATTTAAAAACTTAATGTGGGTCTGGAGAGATGGCTCAGCAGTTAAGAGCACTGGCTGCTCTTGCAAAAGACCCAGGTTCAGTTCCCAACAACCACATGGCAGCTAACAACTGTCTGCAACTCCAGTCCCAAGGGATCTGACACCCTCTTCTGACCTCTGAGGGCATTGCATGACACAGATGCACTTATATACATGCAGGCAATACCCTCATAATAAAAGTAATAAAATATTTTTAAAAATTCTTCATGTATAAAACTATCCTCTAGTACTCAAACCCATAGTATAGTATTCCAAACTGAAATCAAGGGGATTTTATTACATAATTCAAATTCCATATAAATAAGCATCAAGTCTATATTTTAATTATTAAGGTAAATGTCATTTTTCATTTTATTTTATTTATAAATAATATAAAATATGCTCTTTAAATTCCACAACAATTTTAAATGTCATCACTGAAGTTAGACTGAAAACCTTTTTTTAAAAAAAAATGTTTATTTTTATTTTATGTGTATGCATGTATTGCTTGCATGTAGGTAAGTGCACTCATAGGACAGAAAAGACTGTCGGATCCCCTGGAACTGGAGTTACGGACAGTTGTTAGCTGCCATGTGGGTGTTGGGATTCGATCCCAGGTCTTCTGCAAGAACAATCAGTGTTCTTATCCGCTGAACTACCTCTCCAGCCCTGAGTGAAAACTTTTAAAATTAGAACTTATAATTACGAAAATCACCACATAACACATATCACAACCTAAATTTAGCTTGGCATGTCAAAGAAAATACTATTTTTCTTTTAAATTAAAAACAAATTGTATCAAGAATTGACTACAATGATATATAGTTAGCTTTAAAGTACTTTATAAAGTATAAATATTTAGATTTATGACCAACCAAAACCAACAAAAACAAAAACTGAATATTATATGTGAAACTACTATAATGAAACACATTACTCTGAATATTAAATTAAAAATAAATATGAAAAATTTCAAGACTAAAACAAAACAAACATGAAGATATATATACATATGACTATGTAACTATATGTATATATATAAAATTGTAGAAGTGCAGTTTTTTGAAGAATCACAGAAATTCAAATTTATCACTCCCCTTCTTGTCACACAGAGAACATCTATAAACCTTTTTTTGTTTGTTGTTTTAAGGGAGAAAAGAAGACTAACAAAGAATTCTGTCAGAATTAACATTGCATATGAAAAGGAATTTGAAGCCCCTAAGAACAAACATTTTGATTTTTCGGATAATCCAGATATGCAAAGCCAGTATGTTTTTCATTCTCCACAGTAATTTGTAGAAGTTGCCAAAACTGAAAAGAATAACCATTAATCATGCCATCCTAAGGCATTTTCTCCACTCAGAAACAATTATCAACGAAGGCGTTAGTCTGAACAGTTTTATAAACCGCGGCTCAATACAACCTTTAGTGAGTTTTAATAGTTGAACGAAAAACTTGATGGTCATCATCTTTCATGATCATTTCAATATTTCATCACAGTATTTACAATTATATAGTGATGCAAAATGCATAGTACATTTAAAGGTCTTGGTTATCCTTTCCCCAGAGGTACTGATGAAAACACGTTAAAAGCCTCAAATCCAACCACTAATGCAACTAAGTAATTTCAAAACACATTTCAGCACTTTCAAGAGGAAGGGCTCAAAAAGCAGCAGAGTCAATAATTTCATACCTGTGCCCAAGATGTATTTAACTGATTATCATTTCCTAAGACCATAATTGTTGGCTAATCAATTTTTACTAAAATATAATCGGGTTACGATTGTTCTTAAGTTGTGCAATAAAAATAAATATGAAATACATTCATAAAATCTACTAGAATTCCTCAAAATTTCAGTTTGTGTTTCAGTAGAGTTTTTAAAGAGAAAATAAAGATTTTGTTAATATCACATCTATTTCTCTCCACATTCAACAAATAAACATGGAGAACACATACCAATGTACTAAGTATTGATGTAAATTATTTTTATAGAATCTAACTTCCTTAGAAACGAACTTCAGTTTTCTAAAACTTAACTACCATAAACCATATTTTAGTGTCTTGAAGGTGATACATGAATTTACCTAAATTTTAAAGGTTAAAAATGACTAAAAAATAAAAGTAATTCCTGAATATTAACAAGCTCAAAAGCAAATAAAATCATGTCACAGTTTGACAAGATTAATGATATATAATTCTAGCATTACTTTATTTTGAGAGACATCCATTTTGGCTAACACTGGAATGACATTTTATTTTATGACCTAGATTATTTCTAGATAATCTTTTACTTTTCTGATTACCATTTCCATGATTATTTAAAAGCTAAATATTTTAATATGCTTTTTGGAAACTGTTAAAAATGCTTTTGAGAACTATCTATTCAGACCATTTGCAAATTTCCTCAATAAATTAATCTTATTTTTAGTGTTTTTGTTTTCTTTAAATTGATTTTTATTTTATGAGCATTTGCCTGTATGTATATAAGTGCGCCATGTGTATGTAGCATCCACAGAGGCTAGAAGAGGGTGTCAGATCCCCTGGAACTGGAGACATGGACTGTTGTTAACCACCATGTGGGTGCCGGGAACCAAACCCGGGTCCTCTGCAATAGAAGTCAATGCTCTTAACTGCTGAACTTGGGTTTCATGAAGCCCAGGATGGCATCAAACTCCATGTAGCAAAGGATGGCTGTGAATTTTTCATTCTCTTGCCTCCACCCCAAAAGGGCTGGAATTACACGAGTATACCCAGATGATTTTAGTTTTTATGCTTTTGCTGCTCAATTTCTTATAGCTCCTTATATAACCGAAACACTAATTTCGTCTCATATTAACAGTCTACAAACATTTTCTGCATCTCTACAAGCTGTTTCTTCATTCTTCACTGATTCCCTTGACAGGTAGAGGCTTTGTAGTTTAAGATAATCATATTTATCTATTTTTTTTTCTTTTTGTTGGCTGACTGGTCTTTTAACCTCCTTCAAAAGACCACTGCATACGAATGTATTCAAGGAGTTTCTGCTATACTTCCTTCAAGAAGTTTCCTGGTTTGGGGTGTTATATTTAGTTCCTGTATCCATTTTGACTAGATTTTTTTAATATATGGAAAGA